GTGTGTGTGTGTTGAAGTTTTGAGAGAACAGCAGCAGGAGGCCAACGAGGGTGGATGCACAAATGAAAGTACACAGTTGGGGAGAAAATGAGGCCCCAGAGGAGTTGCACAGGAAGAAAAGCGAATACAGAGAGAGCGAGTGTATGAACATTGTGCACAGGTAACGAGAGAGAAGATGAAAAATGCAAGCAGGAGGAGGAAAGGGAATATTGGGGCAAAGCAGGAGGTGAAGGCAGACGGAAACGGAGGGAGGAGAAAGAAAACAAATTAGGACAGCAAATGCTGGGAGGACTTGAGCTGCTTGTCCTTGTGTATCTCTTTTGTATACATGCTGCTGTCACAGCGATGATTGGTGTAGTTCAGGAGCAAGTAAATTTGATGGCAGAGTGAAGATTAAGCCATTTTTAGTATAGGAGGTTCAATTTAATTTGAATTAGACTCAAATATTAACTACTAAGATCTTTTTAGTTGGGTCGCAGGAATGGAACTACAGTAAGGACTACAACTCGTCTTAAATGTTTGGTAACTGTGCTAGGGTTAGGATCTGATCTGAAGAAAAAGCCATTAGAGATTAACCCTGACATTTACAAGCATGTCCTAAAACTTGATTTTCCACTAATTACAAACCCTAATTATACACAGGAGGAGAGACGCCCAGAGAGTTACAGAAAAAATTACACAGTATTAACCCTCGGTTGAAAAATTTCGACTATTTTACTGTAATCTCTTTGTTTTATCTCCACAGTTAGCTGGAAAGGGTTGCATATTGAAACAATTGAAATATAACACACTTAGCTCTGAATGATGTGAAACGCCACAAATGTGGGAAGTGAAATGATTGGCCTACAATAAGCCTCTTTGAATAGAAAAATAAAAATCAAGCAAGTACAAATGTACATGCTGGCATCAAAAACGAAAGAAATTCCATCCATCCATTCTCTTCCGCTTATCCTTGTTAGGGTAAGCATGGAGAGTGGGAGGAAGCTGGAAGAGAGTACACGGAAAGAACCCAGCAGTGCTCATCACCGCGCTGCCCATGATTAGGAATATTATTCTCAGTTAATTATTAACTGATAAATGGTCATATTCACGATTTCTTGTGTATATCTGTTTTCACTGATGCACATTCAGATCAAAACCTGTTGTATGGTGAAACATCGAACACGGAGGAAAGCATCAAGTTAAATAAATAGTTAGTTTACATGTTGTTTTTAGTCTTAAGAACAAACAGCTTAATGCTTCTTTTTCTTGATTTTTTTTAGGTTGTCAGAGCCAGATCTGCATTTGTCATCTGTCCATATTTGTCTGTTTTAGTGTTTTAATAAAAAAAACCCCAAATGGTTGCAAAGTGGTTTAGCTCAACAAGAGGAGAACTGCAACAAGTGTCATGTGTCAATATTTGATTCATGAGTTTTCCAGACTTCTACATCATCAGTGTTTCAAAAATGCAACCATATATGGCAATACGATATAAAAGGCGAAAAGAGTTTGTACAACTCTGGACTCTCTTAGGCAGCTTTCTTGTAATTGCCTTAAGTATTCTTCAGACATTCAAAGCTCTTCTTTGGATGTTTCTGCCTTTTGTTCTGTTCTCTGTCAACATGCTCTCACACTGCTTCGTTAGTCTGTTGAGGCCAATCCATAACTGATGGATTGGCCTCAACATGTATTTCCATTCATTCTTTTGCTGCATTGGCAGTACGTTTGGGATCAGTGTCATGTTGAAAAATGACACCCGATGGCGCTGTTCTGCATTCATAAATCCATCAGTTTTGACATGCTCTCCAACAGCACAGTCACAAACTGTGACAGAGCCTCCACCGTGTTTTACAGACTGCTGTAGACACTCACTGGCTACACCACTCTCCTGACCTCATCTGTGCAGATGCATCTCTCAGGTCCTCTGTCAGGCCTGTCCTGGTTTTTTTCTCTATTTCTTAAAGACATGACTTTCAGATGTTGTTCTACTAAAGATTTTTTCCTCATGCCAAGATATCAAGATAACAAGTTTTCAACTAATAGGTCTTTGAAAGCTTTTTTTCAAAAATACTATTTCATGCCTGTCAAACTGTGCTATGTTTGGTATTTTAAGTAGATTCAGCTAAAGAAATGGGTGCTAAAGCTAAAGTTTTGGGTTTTGCAACTGGCTGCTAATAACAAAGTGGTTCATCCTTTGGGCTATGTGTCTTTTTAATTTTTGGATAGCTCAACAAACCAAAAAAACAACACTTCTCTGAGTGAAAACAAGTGAAAAAGCAGCCTTTGGAAAGCCTGGAGATCTATCTATCTACAGCTCAACCTCGCATTTCTTTTTCCATAAAGCCTTAATATGCAGTCCAGAGGCAGCAACCTTAAACCACCGGAGTTAAACTTTATCCACCATATCCTTCCCCAGTCTCATTACAGGTGACGCTTTCCATATTGAACAGTGGCACAGAAATGCATTTATTGATATCTGCCTCTAGAGGACCATCCTGCCTCCAGGCATTCATTTTAAATTTCAAGGCAACTCGAGCTTGAAAGTAGTTCAATCAAGTGAAATAGCAATATAAAACTGCAAAAGCAAAAACACTGTAAGGAAATTTGTCATATTTCTCAATCGATACAGAATTTAATTCTTCTTTAAAATTGTCAGGTTAAACTGACAGGCCTCCGAGGGCTGAGCACAAAAGGCTGTGTTGGTGTGCCGAGCTGACATCGAAGCTTTGCTACGCTGCAACATGCCGTGATGAAAATAAATCAAATCTCCTCTTATCAGCTGGTCCATCTCCTCCTACTCAGCACACATGCTTGGCCTGCAACAACCAGATAAGGCTCAACAGCCCCAAGGAGGTAGAGAAGCACCACAGACCATGTCTCTAACATTGTGATGTGTATTTGGTTCAGCTGTAGTGAAAATGTCTTTAAGCGCGGAGCGAAAATGCCCCTTTTTCTTTTCGCTTCCCACCAGAACGATTAGTATTCAGCTTCACTAAGCCACTGTCTGTCTGGTATCCATGGTGAAGGGATGGGAGTCAACCTCAGTGATGCTCAGTCTTTGTCGTGGAGGAAAAATTGACGCTGCTTGATATGCAGATATGTGGGGAAGAACACGCCTCTCATTTTTCATAAGTTATTTACTAGCACAGCCATATGGGGTCTCATTCTAGAAGTGCGCGCTATGGCTATACATCCCTGAGATTACAGACATGAACGCTATTAACAGATGCTTCAGAAGCTGAACTGGAAATGCAAATAAATGTGCTTTTGTTGATGTTAAAAAAGAAAAAAAATCTGCAAAAGATGTTTGTCTATTTCTGAATCCCTAAAACAGTAAAACACTGGAAAATATACTTTCAGTCATTCGCTCAGAGGTGGTTTTAGATGAGAAGACGGACAGAACCATCCAGTCTTTTTCATGTCAACTTAGCCTTTCACAGAGATTGAAGACTGGGAAAAAGAGAGTCGACATGTTGCCTCTAACAAAAAGGGGAAAAAAAACCCTACAAGCCTCTGAGCAGTGCTCTGATTAACACATTCTGTTTGTATCTTGTTTAATCAGCACAAAACTCAGCGCGTGACGTCACAGCGCCTACAAGACGAGCAAGCCGAACGGCCAAAAAAAAGAAAAAAAAAGAAAAGTCCAAACGAACGGCAGCTGTCAAGTTAACATTTCATTTATCTCTGTAGTAAACAAACAGCACGCCAATTAGCGAGCTTCAGAGATCCTGGCAGGGTTAATTCTGTTTCCACTGAATAGAGTTTGGCTCGCTGCTTCCCTTATTTCTGTGAAGCTCTATCTTCAGGTAAATGGTATCATTGCCCTCATCAGACTGTGAGCCAGAGAGTTTAGGAGCCTCCTAAAATGACCAAATTGTTAGCATAGAGAGCTATTTGCTAACAAGGTGAACTGGTGAAGATATTCTGAAAGCAGCCTTTAAATAATGCAAACTAACCCTTTTTGTGCATTTGTGAGGAAAATGAAGGAAATGGAGACTCGGTGGCTAATTGTCATTTTTGAAAGTAACGTCTGTTAACAGGAGTAGAAATATTAAGCTGCCTGGTTAATGTCGCTAACATTACCATTATCTCCAGAGAGGAGAGGAGAGGGCTAAATTGTAATGAAAGGTAATGTGTCATTTATGTCTGCAGTAGTTTTGGGATCTGTGAGCAGTGAGGCTTACCTTTCTCTTAGACTTAAACACGTTGCAGCGGAAAATGTTGCTCTGTCCGTCTCTGGCTATATAACTGAATATCTTTAAGTCTTGAGCATCATGTGAGACGTAAAAGATCCTGTTGAGGCAAGAAAACATGTCAATTTTTTTGTAAATTGGGTGTTTGATTGAGCTGGTTTTTAATGTAAAGTGCTCATTTTTCTCCCTGCTATGTAGCTTTTTTTCCTCAGTAGAAAACGCTGCCACTAAACAGCCTCAAAGACCTTGTTTTGTAATCCAGGCCTTTCTTCTGTGACTTATTTAGAAAAACTGATTCTCACGCACTGACAACATCTGAAGAATTTATCCCAGCTTGGGACCAGCACTGGGAGAACACCAGCTTGAGGCTGGGTTTGTGTTTCCTCCAGAGGATTTTTCATATGCAAGCAAATGTATGAAGCGCTACACCGCATACTGTAGTTTAACTTTAAAGTTTCCACATAAACCTGAGATATGTATGAACCAGCTGCTCTGCCCTGCTAATGTCCTGATTTATTTTTTAACCCTATCAAAAATCACATAAAGTTAAATCGCTTATGCTGATTTAGGATCTGACAAGTAAAATGATCACTGAGAGAAAAGTTAAAAGCCACACACAGACTTCATTTTCACCAAAGTTTTATGATGGCAGCTCTTAAAATATGAGCCTGCATTTCTTAGCTTTTGTCACATCAAATGAGGAATGAGGATGAGACGTCTGGACTTTTCGAGATGTGCATCTTAAAGAGATGGGTACTAAAATGAAGCTTTTCGTTGCACAGCCTGACAGGGAGGTTGTGTTTTGGATGCTTGTAAACATATTCCAGCAGAGCGACATGTACACGTTGTTACAGTCGAGAGGGCCCACCTGTGGATAGGATCCTGTGTCACCAAGATGGTGTTGTCGTCCCACGACCACCCTTTTCTCTGTTGCAAGACAAAAATCACACAGGTTCACGCTGACAACTGTGACTTAAAACAAAGATGTCATTCAAGGTGCGAAAACAAGTAAATGGAAAAATCATATGTGGTTGTGCAAGACCGACCTTCCTCTTTTTGCGCAAAATCACTTTGACGAAGTCAGTAGATACGACAATGTTGACCTTCTTTTTCTTTATGTTCTTCAACTTGAATTCATACTGTGAAGGAAGAATAGATAGAATAAACAACAAATCCAAAAGTTGAATCAAAGCAAACTCATTACAGTACTACCCGGTCTGACTCGCATTAAATATATTTATGGTCCTGCAGAGATGGAGCTCGATGAAGCGGAGGGATCACACAGACAGGAGCTATCTTTTTTCACTGTCTTCTTCCCCGGAGGAAAACTGGGATGGCGTAAATATAGAGAAACTGTCAGTTTCTCTTTCTGGGAGCTTTTTAAGTTTTCAAAGGCTGACTTCCCAGAGGGAGGCGGACATGTGTGGGACGCTTTCATCCCTCTGCTTGATTAACAGTGTGTCCTCCAAATCTTACAGTCATAGGATGTAGGGTAAAAAACAAAAAACAGAAAGATTTGTATGAAATAACATGTTTGGCTTTGAAAACACAAAGTCCAACATCAGATTATTAATTGATCAGATAAGGTTTGATGAAATCACTCTCCAGCACACACACAGTTGCCCAGCGTGTGCAGCAGGCTTGGATATTCTCTGTCAAGTTTCCTTTGGTTTGTGTAAATATGAGAACACAGAGCTTTCTCTTAGTTTCATCAGAAACTGGAGGCGGAGCTGATTTTAGTCCAGAGAGGTTTGACCATGCAAGCCTGCGACCTGTGTCCTTGTCATCTGGTCTTGTCCCGTTAATGCATCTGGTTGTTGCTGTGTGAGTTTTTTCCCCACATGCAGGCTGGATGCAGGTGCTCAGGTGAAGGACATTGATCTCTGTGGTGTGTGTGTGTGTGTGTGTGTGCAATCCAGGCTAATGCAGCTCTGCATAAACCAGGACCATCCATCTCCGCACACGCTGCTGTCAGAGGGAGATGAAGCGTTCGCGCCACGTTTTCACGCACATGAGCCTGAAACTAATTCACACTGAAACCGCCCCCGAACAAAATAATGCTACAGGTTGTGGAAGCTCACCTCTCGTCTTACCCCCTGAGCCACTGCGAGTGCTTTAAGGACAAGTTAGCTTTTGAATATTCACAGTCTGTCTCCCCCAGAAGCAGAGACTATTAATTACTGTGTGATAACAGAGCTCAAAAACAGCCCGAGCGTTTTACAAACCTGCTTTTATGTTATCCATCTTAATCCCACACACATTTACAATCTTTTTTTTCCCCAGTTTTATTGTATTTTCATCATTTGTCTCTTTTTGCCTCGTTTGCCTTCTTATTATCAGTTTGTTTCAAAGACTTAGAGCAAAGCATTTCACAGTCTTTTAGATAGGAGCTTTGTAGTAAATTAACATTGTCTGCTTAAGCACAGATAAATAAAAGCTAAAATGCAGGAGAAAAGCCTTCAGCGGTTGGATTGCTTTGTGCATTGTGTGGGTTTCTCTCTCTTCTTTCTCCATTTGAGCTGCTCTGTTGAACGTGTCTGTCATTTTCTCCAAAATGCATAAAAGCAAGTTTAGAATCTACTTTCTAAAAATGTGCAAACACACACACACACACACACACTACTGGGATGCCTGAAAATACAAGGGGAATCCAAACACACACAGCGTCCCTACATCTTTGCCAGTGTGATCAAATGACCAGCATCGCCCACTGTACGGAATGCTGGATCAGGATTAAGTCTTTCCTTGGGTGTCACTGGGGAGGCGGCCGATCTCCGAGTGACACCATAAACTTGGTTGTTAGATTAGATGCAACAGCTGACAAGCAGCTAAATCCTTTCCTCCCCGAGTGTCTCTGTCACACTGCAGTGATGTTTAATGACAAGGCTGCGTGTTGTTTCCAGCGGCCTTGCATGATCGTAACAAAAGGAGGCTTGAAGGATGTTGTTTTTTTTCCCCTGATGGCATCAAACATATCCCTGTGCGCCGTGTCTCTCCTCAGCCAGAAAATCCAAGCTGCCCTACGAATCCTGCCCTGATTTAAACTGCTCCTGACGGCCCACTGAATCTGCCCACTGTGTAGTTTTACACAGACAGGTCATTTATGTGTAAAGAGGGGACGCCGAGCACAGAGAAAGGAACTTGTGAGGAACGTGCACAAAGACGTGCAGCGAACGTCACCAGTGTTTCAAAGTGGGTTTTGTCAAAGAGGCAAAGTGTGTGTGCTTCAGGGAAATCTTACTCTGATTCTCCTCATTGCTGCAACTATCTCCATTCGGCTCCCGGGGCGGCCCACCTCCAAACTGCCTATGTACTGCAAAACATAAGAGAAAGGTTTAAAGACGGGATTGTTAAGGAAGTGAATACTTGGGGAGTGCTTGGATGACACACTGTCTCCTCTTTAGATTGAACCAGTGTCAGCAGATTTTTTTTTTTACAGTTTTGGATAAGCAGACAACTACGTATAAAATTGTAATTACACTGCACATTATTTTTTCAAGCAAATATCAAATATAGACGATTCTACCTTCTCAGATTTGGCAATTTGCAGTTTTTTATCTGTCTTACATTACATAAAATTATGAATTTGGCTATATAAGTGTTGGTCAAAGAGGACAACACATCCGAACAAACTATGTGGATTTTTTTAACAGATGTTATTAGTGCAGACCAGAGACAAAACAGTAAAACTTAAAGAACTGTTCATAATTCCCACAGAGCAGTCAGTCTCATTCATCTGCACTAAACCAAAACTTTGTATTATCCTTGAAACAAAATTATGAAAATGAATTTTAAAAAAAATGATAAAGTCATAAAGGGAAATTTAATATAAAATATAAAATTATTGCATGATCAGAAGACGCAACAATAAACGAACACACACAATTATGCAAGAAAAAAAAGAAAAAAGAAATATAAGACGACATCTGAAACCCAAGAAGCCCACATAACAGTGTTTAGCATATTAGGACTCGCTGGTCTTCAAGCCTGAAATGCTGCCCAGAAAGTACAATCTGTTGCAGAGGCTTCTTACCTTTGCCTCGAAGCACACCCCATGCTTAAACACCTCCTCGTTGTGCATGGGGATCCTCAAATCTTGCGCGTCATCCACTAAATTGTACTTGGTTACTCCTGGCATCGCTTTAATTTTAGCTCACTTGCTCCCGACACTTGTTTTACGACAGCGCTAGAGACCTGCAGATATGCGCATCTCCTCCGGCGCTCTTCCCTCCGCCCTCTCATCGGAGAGACGCGTCACTCCGGAGGTCATGCCGTGGGCGAGGCGCCACGGTCGCGACCGAACGATTGGTTGATGGGCTCAATTAGTGTGTTAATCGGCGATCGGTGAGCGGTCTCACTGGCCCGTTTTTTTTTTTAAAGCCGGGTTGAAGCGAAGCACGACTGAGGAGCAGTACGCGTCGCCACCGCCGGGGACCCGGTGACGCACGGATCTCAACACTGGATCGTTTTCTTCTTCAAGTTCCCTCAGAATTAATTAATGACTCACTGTCTGCACGTGTACTAGCTATTAAACTGGATGCATGACACCTAATAGATGGAGAAATACTCAGTGGTGTGTAGGTTATATCAGCAGCTGCTGCTGGTGTTTGGTTGTGTGACATCTAGCGGCATCACAGGGAACAAACAAAACCCTGAAGACAGTTTAGTGGATTCGAGATTCTCCAGGGCTGTGTGGCCTCCTCAGAGTGACAATTCATGTCGCCAGCATTTTCAGAGAAGCTCAAACACCTACAGAAAAATCAATCAATCAATCAATAACCCGACACATGCCTTTAACCGTCTGGTGACACACTGTTGATATTTATTTATCAGTTAACTCTTACCGTTATAAAGAGCATGATTGTTAAGGAGACCAGCTGGATATTTTTTTTGGGTTAAATGTACATATATGATTTTCCATGTGGACATAGATTAGACAAAGTAAGTAAGTAAAAATACATAAAAATTCTCACATAGAGACAAACATTCTTGGGTGAAAAACAACAATATTTGCTGAATAAATTAGACCGACCTGTTTCTTTTTTTGTAAAAAACAAAACAAAAAACAACAACAACAACTTATGATGTCCCAGCAGATATTAATTTAAACAAACAGAAAGCATTAACTCAATTTACCTCTCATACAACTGAGGTATGGCATGCAGAAGAGCAGCTAGCAGCAGCAGAGCACAAAGGCTCACCAAAGTCAGACAACAGAAGATACTAAAATTATTGCCCGGTCTGATGAATCTTAATTTTTGTTGCCACATTTGGATGGTAGGGACAGAATTTGATGTAAACAACATGGAAGTGTGGCTCCATCCTGCCTCATACCAGTGATTCAGGCTGTTTGTGTGGGTGTAATGATCTTTTCTTATTTTCTTAGTACAAAATGAGCGTTATTTAAACACCAAAGCCTCCCTGAGTAATGTTGCTGACCATGTCCATCCTTTTATGACCACACTGTACCCATCTCCTGATGGCGGCCTGGAGTTCAAGGTGGTCTCCACAGTCACAGGAGATTCATGTCACAGGTGTGGTGGAGCTGACTAATCTGTGGATCAGCTGTGTGATGCTGTCATATCAATATAAACCAAAGTCTGAGGAATGTTTCCAGGAACTTGTTGGATTTATGTGATGAAGAATGAAGGCAGTTCTGAAGCAAAGGGGAGTCAAACCTGATGAAATGAAAAAAAACATGTGATGAGTGTTTTGTTTTTTTTTAGATGAGCTGAAATTGATAATTTTAGAATGAATGAATGAATACTGACAGTTGGAAAAGGTGGGAGCTGCTCGTCCTTTCACAGCAGGAGGAGATAACTCGCCTGAATCCACAGCTTTTTGCCATCACCTAAAAAGCTTTCATGTCCTCACATGCACCTTATACAGTGTGACAAGCCTTCTCCACAGATTTGAGATATTCTGAAGTGAACTCTGCAGATGTGCTTTGCCCTCAACTAGTTCTGTTTTGAATTCAGTCACACCATTTCCCCAGCAGGGGGCAACAGAGCTCTTCACACGCTCAGGAGGAGTCAAACGCTCCCAATAAATACCAGGCACACACGTTCTCCATATCCATCTGTATGCAGCTTGTCTTTCACTGACCTGTGACAGAAGACACTGTGTAACTGTTGTGCTCTCTGTGTCAGTGTAAGGCACACACTAACTCTCACTACACACACACAAACATTTTTTCCACAATGCCAGCGTCTGACTGCTGTTTTCTGGGGACTATTTGTACTGGCATTTGAGGTTGTTGTCTTTAAATTGCCTCATTTCAGGTATTTAAGATCAGCGTCTCCTCCAGAGATGATAACTAGTTTTGTGCACCTGCCATCTTTTCTAAGCCCTTACCGTGGCCGGTGACATGGCCCTCACGTGTTTTCATGTCACAAGGGTTCAATCTGGTGCTGCAGGTAAACAACCAAAGCAGCTTTGTTCAGATGAGATGCAACATGGGTAAGAGATAAGATGCAGGTGCATTATTTTTCTTCTTACGTTTCTTTTATGTCATATGTGGGTGCAGTAGGATTTTCTTTCTCATGTGACGTCAATGTCTGTTTACCGATTTACATTTTAATAAAAAAATAATACATGGAAAGAGCTGGAAACCAACCTCTGTGAGGCTGTATTTAGTGGGAATTCTTCTGAGGGATCCCAAAGGAAAAAAGCTAACAATCAGGGAATTTATCAGATGTGGTCTGATAAGTTAGCCTCTTGGGGTAACTTCTAATGTATCAGGGTTTCTGGGGTGGCCTGCGGGTGTCCAGATAACAGATATCTGGGGCAAGACTCCACAGAGCACTGATCTTTTACAGTCCAAATACGAATGTAGATAAAATCAGACAAGAGTTAGTGGTTTCAAGATTACTCCCTGCACAGACCTGCATGCAGCCAAAGGCCAGACATACTAGGTATACACTACTCAGAGTACTAAATGATATGGAAATTTGTAAGATCCCCATTGATAAAATCTTATCCCCTGCTCACATATTCTGTGTATTCATTTGAAGATAATAACTGATAAATAATAACTGATACCAGCTTCTCAAATGTGAACATTGGTGCTTTTTTGTCTTCAAATCTCTGAGCCTTTGGTGGTGTTTTTACTTTTTTCTGAATCATTAGAGGCCAAACGGTGGATTAGTAAAGACTGATGATGAGTTTCAGGTAGCTAAACTAGTGATCAGTATTAATTCCCTGGAAAGCAAGAATTTAACTGCAGTTTAGTTCTACTGAGTCATGCTGTGAGTGCACAAGCAAACAGAGGAAGAAAGCAGGCTTTCTCTGAATCTCTGTCATTGTCCTGATTGCTGGTGACATTTTTTTTTAACCTTGCACTGGGCAGTTTTACTAGTATACCGTGTCACATGGGTAAAAAGGAATCAGCTGTTGTGTTATCTACAAACTGCTGCTCGACGTGCAGACTGACACGAGATCATCTGCTTAGGCACATTCGCTGCTCTTCATAGATCAATAAGCACACAAGCCTGCGGCGTTTGTCAAAGCAGCTGAGCTCAAAGCCGACATTCCCACAAACCCAATTACCTTGTCACCGTGGAAGCCACTCTAGATAGTTATTGACACGCGCATTTGCCAGCGTTTCTGTGGATGAGGTTCACAGTCGTGAGGCTATACGTCACAGCGCTTCCCGTGTCTTTGTCGTGCTCCACGGGGAAACAGCCTCGGAGAATTGCTATAATAGCTGCATGCTGTGTTTATAGGATGCTGCAACAATCAGTTAAGTTTTTCATCACTTCAGGTAGATTTCATTCAAACTGCTTATTCATTTTTACGTGCCTCTTTGAATTTTTCATGGTAAACTTTGACCATCAATGCTCAAACAGTGTGATACACACTCTTAAGACTTCCATCCTTGTGGTGAATAAGCACAAGCACAACAGCCAACCAATGATATGTGACACACGGTCATAGCTACTGGGTCAGAAAGGGAAGCCAGTGAAGAAATGCTTTAAAACTGGATTCTTTCTCATGGTCAGCGAGGGCCAGTTTAGATTTGATCAAAGTCTGAGAAGTTTAGTATTTCAAAAAAGTTTATCGTGTCTGCCGTTTAGAGTCAAATACATGATAATGTAGGACGTGTTTAATGACCAATGCTGCCTCCATGTGAACGTGCAGTTTCTCCAGTCAGACATCTGGTTTAGTATCACAACAACAACACGATGTCACAACGGTGACGGCATGCATGTGTGCGGATGTTTCGCATTGCAAAAGTGAGAACTGCGTCAGATACAAAAATATTATTATTACTATTATTACTTGCAAAAATATGTGTACGTGACAAAGGTGGTGTGGTTTATCATTTTCATGTCAGTGATGAAATTGAAATCAAAATAATGCGCCTAGCTCACAGAACAAATGAGGGAATAACGAACAAAGTAAATCTTTTTATTATCTTTTTAATAAGATCGTGGGAAACAAATAATGATAAGAAGAAGAAGATGACAAAGAAGAAGAAGAGTAGAACAAAACTTTCAAGTCACAAAAAGTGTTGTATAGTAATTTGTCTCATCTCCACTGCAAGGAGTGAATCATGAGGTGCTGTCAGGATGTTTGGTGAAAACTCCATATTCTCTGATCAATCAGAAAAACCAAGCATCCGTTCAGTTTATGGTAAAAACCACAGAGGAAGTATAACCCAGGCTTACAGCACACCTTGTTTATGATTTGTATTTTCTGCTGTTTTTGCCTAAAACTGCTTTCATTTTGATTTTATTAGCATTTCAGTAAAAAGGGGAATGCTACCAACAGCATGCCGGATACTCTGACACTCATACGTGTAGCAAGTTTAGGTCTCCAGTGTGACTAATTTGCAACTTTGGACCATACCAACAATGCCATGAAACACCGAGGAGTCGGTTTTCTTGGAAATGTAATGGTAAAAGAACCACATGGGGGTTTACCTCACTTAGATAAGTCAGCATTATTATTGCTAATGACCTCTGTGCTTTAAGTTCCTGCTGGCTTTATGTGTGTCACATTAAATAATGCAGAACACATGTTGAATTATGGTCTCATGTCTCAGTCTAAGAGTCCATAAGTGTTTATGATGATTTAACAAGTGGCCACAAAGTACAAAGCAGTTTATTTGCAGTAGCCTATTTTCTCCTACTTTACAAACCAAATAAATGAAAAAAAAAGAAGAATATTGTGCTGGGTTGGTCACCTTGGTAACCTGATAACCATGCCTGCAGCTCTTTGTTTTTACACCACTCCAGCGGGTTCAACCTCTGATGGCAGAGCCATTAATCACCACTCACACAGCAAGTATGTTTTAGAATCAGCATGCTGACTCACTTCCAGTACAGCACTCAGCGCTCGAATAATCCAGTTCCATGCTCTAGCAGAGCTCCACCTCTTTTGTTCTGAATTATGTTTCACCTTCCTGACATTAAAAGCTTTCCACTTAAAACGATCCGTGCTTTGGAGACACTCATACAGAAAATACCTGGTGAAGCCTCTCCCGTGCCAGCTCATCCAGGTGTGGGATCTATATGTGTCAACAGTCTGTAATAATTAATAATCCTGCATGCTTAGTGAACAGATTGCAGACATATAAACTGAGCCTGTTGTG